GAGAGCAGGGCCAAAACCATCACTGTGGTGATGCCTGAAAGGAAGAAATGTGAATAATTTCTGCTGGGCAGCCCTTTGGGCAGATCCCAAACCTCTGGCAGGTCCTGGAGATGCCAGAGGAAGGTGGGTGCTGCTGCTTGTCACAGCATGGGACGTTTTTCCCATCCTATTCCCCTCACTTCAACAACTCCATGGGGACCAAAGCAGTTCTTCTGAGAGCAACCAGTGGCAGAAAATGCATCTGAGCCACCTTCTAAAGCACCAAGGCTTGCGTGAAGACCCCAAAATCAACATTAAAGCCATGCTACATTAATTTATTGAAATTCAATTGGGAAGCGGAAAGAGATCTGCTGAATTAAAGCGGCTTTAACGAAGCAGAAAAGCAGAGGCACGGAAATTTGATGCCACTGAAATCACCTGCACCTCTGGTTGACTTGGATGGATCTTAGGGCACTGCACAGAGTGAGCATCCAATGCACTGAGTACAGTGCATCCAAGCTTCCATCCATCCGTGGATGTCAGGAGCTGGAAATCAGGCTTCGTCTGGTCCATAGCAGCAACAGAAGACTCCACTGAGAACCCAAAAAATGCACTGCAATGCTGTTGGATGTGCAGGGAAACAGGCTTGAGATCTTTCCTCTGCATGACCTAGATCCAAAGTCTTGCCTGTAGCCTGTGTTTTATACTGAATTAAATAACGGCAGCCCATAACACAACGTGTACATCTCCTAAGCGGATTGAAGCCTCAAGCTTTATAGATTTCATGCTTCTTTTTAGTGCAATTTTATAGTGCATTTCTCATCGCTCTTTTTTTTTTTTTCTTCAGCGTGTTGCTTGATTAATTGCTATGAAATGTTCATCGTTATCCGACAATTCCTGAAACACAAATGCAGAACTCCCTGATTGTATTTCTTATTTACAGCCCTGTAGCCTGAGTGATTTCCAATTTACTGCGCCGTTATATTAGGTCAATACATAATACCTTGGGCCACTCCAGAAAGATTAACCACAAGTGGATTCCCTTTCCAATCAAATAATCCCTGCTGTAAATTACAGTTTCCTTTACTATATTTGATTGCATTTCTGCCACCTTTCTCACACAGTGCAATAAAACAACACCCCCCCCCATGCATCCCTGCCACTCTGTGCTGTGACAAAGATGGGTAACTGCAGAATTTGGGGGACTTGGTGTCATTTTGTTCCCTACAGCTGCCTGAAGTAAAGTTGCACTGAGGTGGGGGTCGGCCTCTTCTCCCAGATAACAGGAAAGGATGAGAGGGAATGGCATCAGGGGAAGGGTCAGGTTGGATATTGGGTATCCAATCCTGTAGAATTCTACAGAAGAGTGGTCAAGCATTGGCACAGGCTCAAGGAGGTGGGGGAATCACCATCCCTGGAGGCGTTCAAGGAATGTGGAGATGTGGCATTGAAGGACACGGTCAGTGGGCATGGTGGGTTGGGTTGGGCTTGGGGAACTCACCCACACCACTTGCAGCCCATGGCTTGCTGCTTCTCCATTGGTTACTGGAATGAGTTTTCTCTGGTAAGCATTCCTCCACCTCACGTAGCACAGCTATGCAAGCTGAACTGCTGTGGGTTTTGTCTGTTTGGATCTTAATTCCCACGTGGATATCCTGACACATGGAATGTTTAAAGCCTTCTGCAAAGCACACGGGTGACGTGAAGGCTTCAGACACACGTCATTTTCCTAATCTTTTCATGATTAAAGTAAAATGCTAGAAAATACCCATCCCAGAGGTGCAAAATTCAGAAGACGAGGATTTCCAGCTCTTCAAGCTTTTTTTTTTTTCTATCGTCATTTCTTTTCCACCTCTCCCATGACTTTGACAGTCCTGACACAGCATTTTGTGCCCCCAAAGCTGCTTGATGCCATGGCACCCAGGCAGTCAAAATACCCTTTCTTTGCACTGGAAAATCAAGACTGAAGCAGTCTGTGCGCTCACTATTCCAAAATTAGATTGCATATAAATTTAACATGCTCAAATAATGGGCTTGCATATGCACACAGTTGAGCAAAAGGTGTATTATTCCAACGCAAAGAACTTGTTAGACAGGATATTTCAGCTTCCCAAGATATTAATGGATACTCAGCAAAGGTCTTTTTAGAATGATAATACACTTCACTTTGTTTGCCGAGTTGGTAACAATTAAATCACTTTTTAGATTACAAAGCCTGTGCCAACGTGACACGGCAGCAGCAGCTTCCAGAGCAGCCCTATCCCAAGCTATGAAGCAATACTTTCCATCTTAGTTTCTTATTTGAATTGCAAAGAACGATGGTTATGGCTTTTGTTTGTTTTTTTCCTTAAGAACAGAGATCCCGAGGCATGCAACCAGCAGCAAAATGAGGGTTTTTGACTCTGCACACCAGTCAAAATGCATTTTTATGGCACCTCCACATCTGGCGCAAAAACCAGAAGGGCTACATGACCAAATACAGAGTATTACACCATTATTGTAAGTTTGTTTTAATAAAGATCAGCCCTGCACCCAAGAGAACCCAAACTCCGTGTCAATGAGGGTCTGAGGCATCTGAGATGCATGGGAAAGGTCCTGCAGGGTGCTCTGGCCACGGTTTGACTGAACTGGGGCTCTTCTGGGTGGCTGTTTTCTATGAGGAAGACAATCACAAGATGCACAAACCAAGGCCACCATGATGGGCAAGATAACCACATCTTTTTCAAGGTAGATATCTCCCTGATATGATGGAAGATGGCCAACCCTCAGCATCCACGATGTCCTTCAAGAAATGCCACTGCCACGTCTGGGACAAGGAGCAGCACGGGAGGCTGACAGTGCTGATGGCTCTGGGTTTGAGCAGCCCCACTGGAGGGATGCTGCAGAAGCTGGAATATGGAGATGAAAGGTTGAGCATCTCAACCTCACAAAAATCACTGCCCAAGTGGCAATGAAAAGAGCTGCTGAGTACAGGAGGGGCTATGGGGGAAATGGAGCAACAAAACCAGACTGTAGAAACGTGTGAAGAGAACATAAGGATAGAGTCGGAAAGTTTAGGTTATAACAGAGATAATAATTCACTGGGAAGAAGAAACTCCTTCAATCCCAGAAGTATCCTCATCCCTACTACGGATATGGCACTGCAGTGCAAAGATTCCACTCCATGCCATCCTTATCCCTTTCCTTGATAAGGGCTGAAGCCCACTGCCATGAGCTGAGTGTCCTTGACAGTGCTTCCCACTGGAGAGCCAACTTTGCACAGTCCCAGCGGCAGCAGCTGAAGAGATTTAATTCCAAACACATTTATGTTATTATGCAAATATTTGGAAATCATCAACTCTTTCACTTACCTGTGAAGAGCTGAGTTAAGTGTTTCCATGGGAACAGCAACTATTAACCAGTATAGTTAATATTTTTATTCTGGTAGTGTCCAGAGAGCCCAATGAAGATTGAAGACAGCTTGTACAAGGAGCTGTACGAATGCGGAGGATGAAAAAGTCCCTTGTTGAAAGGCAAAGATTATGTTTTAGGAGCTTCAGTGACAAGCACCAGTTCTACCTGGACCTGTAACAACATGGCTAAATGGCCTTGCAACAAGTCCAGCAGCTTTGCCCACACCATTTAATTAAACAAAGAGCCCTATTTATATGGCTTCGAATCCTACTGCATTTTGTGGCCAGGTATTGACTTTAATTGATAATCCAACTCAATCCAGCACCTGCACCATCAGTCCAGTTCCAAGGATGTGAGGATCTTCCCCAAGTCTCTGGTCTTCAGCTGAGTACAAATTTATGTTAAATATGTATGAGGGCAGCAGTGGGGCAGGACATCATTGGGGTGTCTTGCACAACAATGGGATACTTTGCACTGGTTTACACGTGATCAAAAATCAAGGATGTACTCAAGAGACCCTAAATCCCATAAGATTTTTGGAAAAAATGAACACACTTGTGTGGGTTTGTGTGTGTGCTTTTTTTTTTCTCCTCCTTCACATTTCAAGTCTGCAACCACGGCCAGATTACAAGCACCTCTGCTTGAACTTTCCTGAAAAGAGCAACCAGAGTAAAAACTATCACCCCTCCCAAGCTCAGGATGATGGAGATGCTCACAGATTGTGGAGGAATCAGGCTGGAAACATCTCCACCACCACAGGCTCTCCTGTGGGCTTCCCTCATTCCTTTGTCCTCCCAATTTCTTTTCCCACTTGCATTTCTCCTTCTTTTCTTCACCTTCTGTATACTGACGGCCTGCTCTACCCAGCTGGGACTAAGCCACCTTTCCCAGCTCTGCAGCATTAGGAAAGCACAGTCCTAAAAGCAGCTATCAAAAGCAACCCTAACACAAGGACAGGGTTTGTGTCACCTTGGGAACTTCAGAGGGGTACAAAAACCCAACAAGGCCAAACATAGATGGCTCATGGTGTGCTTCTCCAAACCTGCTACATCCATGAGTCGTTAATGCTGTTGTCTCCTGCCCCAAGGCAGTCTGTGAGCAACACAGCATCATGAGTGGGAGATGCACTTCATCTCCCCATTTTCTGTGAGCCTGTTTTGCCTTCAAAAGGGCAAGCCTTCAGACACATGCAACAAGTCAGAAATGAACCTCCACATCACCATCTCCCCCCAGAGCAGAGCAAATGACTTTCAGCATGAGATGCAAACTGGAAGGGAACGCTCGTGCTATAAAGGACTGTTCAATTGCACCACACAAATAAACTTAAAGTTTTGAATGAATGTAGCCAGATCTCAAGAGGAGATTGAAAAGTGCTCAGAAGGACACTTGCAAGAGCACAGAATCCCTTGGACCAGCCATGCAGCAGAAACCCACACGAAAGGCAGCAAATGTTCCTAAATGTCAAAGAGGAAACTACAAAGAGGTCCGCCTCAGATGTGGCTGTCCAAAAACACTTTTCTAGGCATGAGGGATGTTGATTGAGGAGAATGGGATGGGATGATCTTTTCAAAAATAAAGCCAAGAAAACATTACATTAATTTCTGCAGGAAGAAAAAGGCCTTTCTTACCTGTTTCTCCCCATATTGGCAAATATTCATCCTGCTGGATGTCTAGCATGATTTCCAATCCATTGCCTGTCCCACCCTTAACTGTGGTAAGAAGAGGCCGTCCTTCTTCTCCTGAGTTAAACATATAGCATTTCCCATATTTTGTAAACACCTGTGAAAAGAACAGAGAGAAAGTGCCATGTAACAAATGCTTCTCTGCACCTGAACAAAGTAAGAGTGATGAGAAACACCCGTGCACTGTAGCTCAAAGGGAAAAGTCTGCAATTAAATCTAATCTGGTTTAATAATTCAGCATACTGTGTTCTCCTTACAGAAAATAAAAGAGAAAAGGGAAGGAAAGGTGTTCCAGAGCAGTGAACAAATGTCTTTAGCAGCTCGCCTGATCCACACTGTGCTCACTTTCCAAGAAACACAGGTACAGGCTGTACTTGAGCTTGTACCGAAATTCAGTGCAGTGCTCTCACCGTGCACTGGCAGTGGAGCTCACTTGTAAGGTCATAGAATCATAGAACTTCAGCATGGTTGGGTTTGAAGGGATCTTAACAATCGTTGAACCATGGAATCACAACATGGTTGGGTTGGAAGGGACATCAAAAACAGTAGAACCATACAGTCACAGCATGGTTGGATTGGAAGGGATCTTCATGATAGCAGAACCATGGAATCGCAGCACAGCTGGGAAGGAAGGGAGCTTAATGCCCATCTAGTTCCAATCACCTATCATGGGCTCAGACTGGCCTATTCATGGCCTTGGGCACCTCTAGGGATGGGGCACCACGACTTCAAATAGCAAATACCCACCAGGACAGTATCACAAGCTCTTGCCTTTTTGCATCCACTCATCTCCCAGAGCTCGTTCCTGGCTTGTCTAGAGTTGCAAGGGACACCACCACTGCTGGGTTGTGCTCTGACAGTGATATGACTTTAAGGCTCCTTGCAACCCAACCATTCTGTGTTTCTATGATTCTAACAGAGGGCATGAAGCGCCTCGAGCTGCTCTTTGTGGTCACAGAGAATCCGTCTTGGCAATCAGTAAGCAACTGGCAAAGGGCACTAATGAATATTCAGAGCAAAGGGAGCACAAGAGCTGGCTGCAGTCCCACCAGCAGCCTCGGCACAAATCGCCAGGCACTAACACGTCTGCTGAGATCACACGACCCTGAGATGATTCATAAAGCAACACAAAAGCCAGAGTCATCAGCAATTTATTCCCATCAAATATTGACATATATTATAAAGCAAAGCATCGGGGAGCGAGGTGAATAAAAAAAAAAATAAAATAAAAGAATATTCTGGGGCAGGAAATCATATTCGAGTTACGAACCTCCAATCGGTGCAAAAGGGATGCAGAGCATACAAAGCACTTGCAGGAAAAATGATGTCCTTTTAAAAAAGATTTTATCCAAGTGAAAATCCCTTTTTAATACTTGAGTGACCTATTAAACCATTCAGGCTGGAAAGATAATCTGAACAACAGTAAGCCTGTGTTAGCAGCCAGTGCCCGTAGATGGGTTTTCCAGATAGGCTTTGAAGGCAGAAGTCAAAAATGTCTAATTAGGATGGTTTAAAACGTGGCAAGAAGAGAACCTATATGAGTGAAAATCACAGGAAAACTAGTAAGCTTATATAGAAAGCAACAGCACGCTGTAAATGCCAAATAAGGATTTAGACGCTGACGCACCCAGTGCAGCCTTTAGCCAAATAAATCCAGGCAATTTTACAGGGCTTTTTATATTGCCCTTTGCAGCTGTAAAACTTCAAGTGTAAAACCTCCACTTAGGACATTTTTACCCAATAAAAAAGCGACGGTGGTCTGAGGCTCACTTTGAGTGCACTTCTTGGACCCCCACCACAGAAAACTCAGTCAAACAGTGAGCTGCAAAAGGAGAGACCTCCTCTCCACCTTCAGCAAGGGATCACCAAAGGCTGATGGCAATGGCCACCAGTCTGCCTACCACAGCCATAGTGGATATTTTCTTGTGGGGCAGAAGATGAGAAACAGCGAGCCCAGGGGACAACCTTACCTCCATCACCCATGTCTCCTTTGGGACTCTGCAAGGAAATGTTTTCCTGAGAAGCCCCATTATTTTCTACTGCCATCACTGAGCATCAAACCTCATCAAAGATCCTGGTGTCTATCTGCCCTCCCATCTCTGCAAATCAGTGTGGATTTGTATAGCCAAAAAGTGCACCAGAGAAATGATTGTAATGTGGAGAACCCACCCCTACAAGTAATCCTGCATCTCTGCTGAACTCCTAGAATGTAAGAATCTTAGGGTCACCACCAGGCTTAACAGCTAAGCAAAGAACCAACTGCTCAAGCAGGCACCAATAAGGGATACATCAGCAAACAGCATGAAGCAAGAGATGTAAGCATTTTTATTAAAGTTAGTTGAAACTTGATTTGTAATGCTGGCTTGTTATTAAATCCTAAGTTCTTTATGCTGCAGGAACTCCAGATGTATTCCTTTAAAAACAGAAATGTATATTTTTAGGAAGGTTGTATGTGATGATTTTTTTAGGCTTTTTCTCTTTCTCCTTTTCTCTTTCCTTTCCACTACCTCCTGAGAATTTAAAATTAAGAAGATACTATAAATTACTCTGTAAAGGGGACATGATTTAGTGTAGGGTTAGGGTAATATGGTCAGGTTGCAGTTGGACTTGATGATCTTCAAGGTCTTTTCCAACCTGAGCAATTCTGTGATTCTGTGATTCTGTGATGTACAGAGTAGAAGTGGAGAGGAGGAGCTGATGCTAAGACTTCACTCCTCCGGGACCAGGTGCCCATTTTGGGCTGCAGCGTGTCTTTCCTACACAAGGAGTGAACAGCTCCTCGAAGCAAAGCAAGCCATGGTAAGTGGGGACAGTTGGGAGATTTGCTCCCACAGCTCCCTCCTGATCCAAGTAAACCCCATGAAGAGTCCTCCATTGGGGTTCAGGCTGGCTTGTGCTGCTCCTACTGCTGACATCCAGCAGCCATCGTTGGGAGAGCACTGCAGAGGACTGAAAATCAAAGAGGACAAAGTGAGAGTGGAGAACTGAGAGCCATTCCCTGCAGGTTAAGGTATGCACAGGAAAAGGCAGCCCTAAGCCGTGGCTGACAAGCCCAAGAACGGGCATTGAGTTGAACCTCAGCTTAAGCACATCAGCACTGGTTTCTGAGCAGTGAAGGCCTTGAGGCCAACAGCTCTCCTTAGAATGGAACTGTGGAGAGCAGCAGACATTAAACAGAGCCTCTGAGGGTTTATATCTTCCTCTGTGGTACAGCTCTGATTGATGCCCGCACCCCACTGCTGGCTCCTGCTTTCCACCACCCATACCACAAGGCCTTCCATCTTTCCCTAAGCAGCTATAAAACTCTATTTATAACAGCATTTTAAAAAGCATTGCCAAGTTCCAAAACCAAGCACATTCATTTCAATTCACATTCAACGGGGCTGAGCTGTTCCCGACCTTCTCACTTCTGCTATGAATGATTGTACAGGAAGACAAAGCTTTTTCAGTACATTTCCTCAGTTTCAGGATCTTTTGGGCTCCCTGATAACAGGGCATGGGTTTGGGGGGAGTCAGACCATTATCAAATCATCAAGATAAAAGGATGGAGCTGTTTGGAAAGGGTAACAGCAGAGCTTACAAGCTGCTGTGGTACATCTGAGATGGTAAACACGAGGTAAACCAGAATGATTTAACCTCAGTGTATTTGTCTTTGGGGAAAGCAGCAGTGCTTGCTGTTATTAATGCTTTAACTGAAAATGGAAAGGAAGCCCAGCACAAACCAGGAAAAAAACACAGTGCTTTGAGAGTTACCTATGAAAACACCAAATTTCTCCTTTGATGCATTGCTTTGACTTTTGCCTCTGCACCCATTAAATGCAAAGGTAAACAGACCGAAAAACGTGAAAGAATATTTGAGTGCCATAAGGATCCCTTCCTCGTGCTGACACATCGAAGGAGAAAACCTTATCTCTCATGGAGTTAAAGGCAGAGCATGGACAACTCAAACTCACTCCATGTGCAAAAACGAAGACACAATCAAGAGCTCAGAGGCAGAAACGTGTATCCTGCTGCGTGTCAAACCAACAGTCTGAAAAGGACTCATATCCAAAACGCAAGCAAGCCTGACCAGAGTAATAGAGAAAAAGGTATTTCACAGTTTATAATCAGCACAGACAGGACAAGCATATCTGCTGATAAATTATCCTTTCAATACGGAGCAAAATGATGGTAAAAGCAAGTAATTTGAAGTCTGTAAATTACTTCTCTACATCAGACAGAGATGCAGCCAAGAGCTCACTGACGAGGAAAGATGTTATTTGTTAGATTAAGGCAATGACCACTGAAAGGAGGGCGAATTAGCATCCTTCACAACCATTTTCCCTGCAATTGCGGGACACGAAGATTTAGAGACATATCTTCTCCAGTCACACCTAACAGCACAACAGACAACAGAGAAGAAAAAACCGAAGGACTTTCCACACAGGTCCAGGAAAACAGGAGAATCAAACTGAAAGGGGAGCACAGAGATGGATTTGAGTAGCAACCTACAAGAGATGGTGAAAAAGATCACGTTTAGGAGGAAAGATGGCTTTATTTCTGAGCTTTTGGTCCATGCACACAGCACAGCTCTCCTGTGGCACCCACCGAGCCACATCAGCATGTCACTGGAGGTGTGAGGAATGACCCAGCCCAGTTGGCTCTGTGAAGCTGCCTTGCAACGGTCCATTTGCCCACACTTAGGCAGGAGGCTGCGGTACATTATTTAAAATGAAACTGTGTGGCTGCAAACTGCAAATTGCAAGGAATGCCTACATCAAACAGGCTTCTGAAGCGTCACATCCCAAGGGGATCTCCTTCCAAAAGACAGATTGCAGCGACGGCTTGGTATGGAGGTAACTCCCACCTTGTGGACAGAAAAGACTTCATCTCCCTTCTAAGTGCAGAAGGACTGAAGGAATCAAATTCTGATCCTGAGTGGAGATAACATTTCTGGTAGGAAAAGAAAAATTAAATGAGGACACTAAAACTGCCCTAAATTTCACTTGGAAGGTGAAAAAGTAGCAAGTACTGATAGAGGAAGCAGACAGATAAGTGAAATGGGCAAATTTGGTCCATTGTTTGTAGATGTCACTCAACAAACAGATGAAAGCCACA